TCGCCCGGAAGATCCCCTCTTCGGACTTCTCCTTTCACGGATGAAAGTGACAAGGCAGAGAGAGAACGCGTGGCCACCCTGGGTCATTCTCAGCGAGGACAGTCCCAGGAGCGGGCTTTTGGGGGCAACAGGTGAGTCAGGCTCCAGGTGAGGTGCTGGAAGCGGGCATTCATTCATTCACTCACTCATTCATTCACTCATTCATTCATTCATTCATTCATTCGCCAGGGACACATCTATTCAATACAGGAGCTGGGGGCAACGAGGAGAATATGAACTCCCAAACTCTGCCCTCAGGGGCCTCACCTTAGGGTGGCCCCAAAGCCATTGCCCCCCAGGCTCCCCAAGGACACGCAACTTCCTGCCTATCTCAGAGCCAAATCTTTAGTCCACAGTGAGAAGCGGGGCCAGCCTGACCAGCATGACTCTGTGGTTGAGTGTCGACCTATGAACCAGGAGGTCACCGTTCCCTTCCCAGTCCAAGCACAGCCCAGGTTGCGGGCTGGATCCCCACTAGGGGGCGTGCAGGAGGCAGCAATCCTAGTACATGTTGTCACACACGGAGGCTTTGCGCTGCCCTAAAATACCACAGATTGGGGCAGGGGGGGCGTTAAACAACAGAAATTTATTTTCTCTCAGTTCTGGAGGCTGCGAAGTCCAAGGTCAAGGATCAAGGGGCCACCTGGTGGGAGCCCACTTCCTGGCTTGCACACAGCCACCTTCTTGCTCCTCAGAGAGAACGCTGGTGTCTCTTATTTATAAATACTTCAACCCACTCTTTTTAGAAAATTACTCTTTAAATATTTTATTGAGTTTAGAGAGGAATGAGAGAGAGAGAGAAGAAAGACAAACATTGATCAGTCGCCTCCCGTACACACCCCTACTAGGGAAGGAGCCCACAACTCATGCATGTGCCCTGACCGGCAATTGAACCAGCAACCTTACACTGGGTGTGACGCTCAATCAACTGAGCCACATTGGCCAGGACTGTTTTTTTAAATTATTGATTTGAGGAAGAGAGAGAAACATTGATTTGTTGTTCCACTTATGTATGCATTCCATGGTTGATTTTTGTAGGTTCCCTGACTGGGATAGAACCTTCAACTTCCATATATTGGGACAATGCTCTAATCCAGGGCTGGGCAAACTTTTTGACTCGAGGGCCACAATGGGTTCTTAAACTGGACCGGAGGGCCGGAACAAAAGCATGGATGGAGTGTTTGTGTGAACTAATATAAATTCAAAGTAAACATCATTACATAAAAGGGTACGGTCTTTTTTTTTTAGTTTTATTCATTTCAAACGGGCCAGATCAGGCCCGCGGGCCATAGTTTGCCCATGGCTGCTCTAATCAATTGAGCTACTTGCCCATGGCTGGTATCTCTTCTTCTTTTTTAAAAATATATTTTTATTGATTTCAGAGAGGAAAGAAGAAGAAGAAAGAGATAGAAACATCAATGATGAGAGAGAACCATTGATGGGCTGTCTCCTGCACACCCACTACTGGGGATTGAGCCCACAACCTGGGCATGTGCCTTTCACTGAAATTGAACCCAGGAACCTTAAGCCCGCAGGCCAATGCTCTATCCACTGAGCCAAACCTGCTAGGGCTGGTGGCTCTTCTTATAAGGACACTAATCTTGCCCTGGCCAGTGTCACTTAGTGGTTGAAGCATCGGCCTCAGCACCAAAGGGTTACTGGTTTGATTTCATGTCAAGGGCACATACCTGGGTTGCGATTCTATCCTCAGCCCCAATCAGGACACATGTGTCTCTCTCATTGATGTTTCTCTCTCTCCCTCTCCCTCTCCCTTCCTCCCTTCCACTCTCTCTAAAAATCAATGGGGGGAAAAATATATCCTTGGGTGAGGATTAAAAATAAATAAGGGCACTAATCTTGTGTATCAGGGGCCCACCCTTATGACCTCCTGTAACCTTAATGATCTCTAATGGCCCTGTCTCCAAACATAGCCACATTGGGGGTTAGGGGTTGAACATGTGAATTTGGGGTAGGGGAGCAACTCAGACACAGCACTGGGAGAATTTCAGCACTGCCCACGTGACTCCATCGGGAGCGACAACTGGAGGCTTGCACCTGCTCTGTCCTGGGCTGTGCCCTGTACACCTTTTCCCTTTGCAGATTTAATCTGTATCCTTTTGCTGTGGAAAACCATGAGTATAATAGTTTCTCTTAATTCACTGAGTTCTTCTAGCCGCGAGTTTGACGTGTTTGTACGTCTTAGGGGCTTCCAGAACAGTCTGTTCCCCTTCTTCAGTCGTGCTGCAGGAACCTCGTTTCCCTCTGTGGGGGAAAACAGAGCCATCTCCCCCCATCTTGTGTGAGAATTTTAAGCCAAGACTTGGGTCGCCACGGCGACACGATAGGGTAAAGGCAGCATTCCAATCCCAAGGGCCAGACCTTTATGAGTTCTAATGTTGCCGACCATCAAATGGCTAAGTTGATCAAAATTCCTAAAAGGAAATGGGGGGAGTGAAATCCGGAACGGCACAGAAAAAGCATCGGTTCCCTTTCATCTGTAACCAGTTCCCCATTTCTCAAACACTAGTCCCTCAAACATATGGTGACATAATTTTTTTCTTGTTAATCCTCACCCCAGGATACTTTTTTCCCTTAATGACATTACTTTTTTTAAAAATACATTTTATTGATTTTTTACAAAGAGGAAGGGAGAGGGATAGAGAATTAGAAACATTGATGAGAGAGAAACATCGACCAGCTGCCTCCTGCACATCCCCAACTGGGGATGTGCCCGCCATCAAGGTACATGCCCTTGACCAGAATCAAACCTGGGACCCTTCAGTCCGCAGGGCGATGCTCTATCCACTGAGCCAAACCAGCCAGGGCCCATTCTTCCTCTTCATGCCCGGCTTCCTCCCCAGGCCCCTGCTTCTCTTTAACTGGCCTAAGCTTCCCCCAAAACTAGCCTCTCTGTAGGTCACCCTGAGATTTTAATTCCTAGTGGTGGCTTGACAAGCTTGGTAGATCCCCTAAAACATGTAGCAATTCACGGGGAACTTCCTCTTTTGGGGACATTTCGGTGGCAAATGCTAAGTGGGATCTTAGCATTTTGTTGGCACAAGTTCAAAAGAGTAAGACAACCTGAGGGGTGAGAGGAAAGGCACAGAGATGAGCCCAGCCCACTCCCACCGCTTCTCCTGACTTTTCCTTCCCAAGAGGAACCCAGCTTTTCTAAAGCCCCTCGGGGTTAGGTGCCCTGCTGGCCTAAGGCTGGGGACCTTGGGCTTGTGAATTGGGGTCCTTGGCAGAGCTGAGCCCAGGTGTGCTCCAGGACCACGGACGGCGCCACCCCCCTCTTGTGAGGAGCTCCGCACGTCTATGGATCGCCCCCTGGAGGCCAAGCCTTGCCCTGTGTCTTGTGGAGGTAAGGCTGGGGAGTGAGGCTGGTGAAATTCTGTCCTACAGGACAGAGGTGCAGCCAAACTCCTCCTCAGTCTCCCCCTGGAACCTCCCTCATCCTAGGGAAGAGGAGTCGGCTTCAGAGACACAATGCATTTCTGAGAGGTCACTGGGCCCCTTGCCCCTCAGGGCTGATGTTACTCTCACCCCCTCCAGAAAACCTGTCAGACTCCTGCCCTTCCCTTACTTCCTCCCCATCATTTTGCTTTTAAACCCTTCCTTGTACTGTCACGGAGCTCTGGACAACCCAAAACATAATCGGTGAGCCTTTTCTGTGCCTGGCACTGTGCCGAGTCCACTTCTTCTGCTCAAATGAAGAAATGAAGTATCAGAAGTTGGGTTGAAATACTGTATTTGGAGCTGGTAGGTCACACAAATAAATTCTAAGTTTTAATTTATTCTACATAAAGGTTAAATATTCAGATTGGGGAAAGGATCCTGTGGCCTTAGTGGACCACAGCATGGAGACAGTTGTCCTTAAGAGCAGAGCAAGCCAGGCCAAGAAGGGGGGGCGGGGGAAACAACTAGGAAGGCTGGATTAAATTTTTTTTTAATGTTTGGAGTCAACAAAAAGAAAATTTGCACAGTGAAGAGGGAAGAAGCAGGAAGTCAAAAGCGATGAGACAAGTATTTGGAGCCACTTTTTATTCAAATAGACTGCTGACTCTGAGCAGTCACGGATAAGCTAAGAAGAACATTCAAGAATTTCATGGGGCCCTAGCCGGTTTGGCTCAGCGGATAGAACATCGGATTGCAGACTGAAGGGTCCTGGGTTTGATACCCATCAAGGGCATATGCCTGGGTTGCGGTCTCAGTCCCCGGAAGGGGACGTGCAGGAGGCAGCCAATCAATGATTCGCTCTCATCATCGATGTTTCTATCTCTCTCTCCCTCTCCCTTCCTCTCTGAAATGAATAAAAATGTGGAAGAAGAAGAAGAGGAAGAATCTCATGGGGTCAGAAACGAGGTCTTGCCAAGGAAGAGAGGCCCCGTAAACATCGCCATCTTGTGGTTAGGACTGAAAATAGATGAGACGCAATAGGGCCAGAAACTGGGTTTTGAATTCCCTCAATGCCTGATGGGATTGTAGTGACCCACCTGCTACCGGCCACAGTAACTATACCTGGAGGAGGAGAATCCTACCCGGGGTCTACATTGTGGTCTGTGTAATTTGTCATTGCGCTTCAGACGGGGTGCGATCCGGGAGACAGCCACCCAGAGAACGATGAGAAGACGGGATTTATTAGAAAACTCAGACCTTAGACCATGTGCACGGAGCCAGGAAGTGCTGTTCTGGAGCGCGCGGGAGGGTGAGAGACAGCGTCACGGAGCAGCTCACCTGCAGCACAGGTGCCGGTGGACGTGAGAGCCGGCCCATCCCGTCTCCCAAACCCCATCGCCTGTCTTCTTCCTGCTCTGCCTGGGGCTGCTCATCGAGCCGTTAATGTTAATCGGGCTGCAAGGTCTCCTCACGCTTCAGCAATGAGTCCCGGACTTCTCCCCCCAACCCCCTCCCCCAGGGGCTGTGATGCCTCTGGCCAGTACCGAGCTCTGAGCGAGGTCTCATTGGCCTCTGCGCTTGACCACTGCGTACTCCTGGGTGCTGGTGGCCTCCTGGCCCCGAGGCTCCCGTGGCTTCAGCCCCTCAAAGGTGAGGTTGGCGTAGTAGAGCTCCTGCTGCTCCCCTGACAGAGGGCCCTTCTCAGCAGGTGGCGCTTGGTCTGGGGGCCCATCCGGCTGGAGGTTTTTCTGGGAGCCCTGAGTGAAGGGGAGAGAAGGGCGTCCGAGAGGCATGAGGCAGACATGGTCCCAAAGAAAAGTGGGGCTGATGGGACAGTTTTTTCCTTCATCATCTTACTGCACAGACACTTCTCATAGATGCGGCTATTCGCTCATGCATTTAAAAAATTTTTGTTTGTTTTTTTGGGTTTTCTTTTAGTGCAAAATGAAGGAGATTTATTCAGGTGCTGCGGCCTAGGAGAATGGTGGACTTTCATCTCGAAGACCATCCTCCTTCCTGCTCAAGCCTGCTGTTCTTTTCTTTTTATTTTTTTTTTATTTTTTGAGACTATTGCAGATGTTGACTAGACCATATCAAGGGCCTACTGATCATATTTCATTCCCTCAGAAACCCAGTAAGCATGATACTCGCATTATCCCCATTTACAGATAGAGAATCTGCGGTAAAGGGAGGTGAAGTAACATGCCCACAATGGGAAGGAAGTAATAGTTTTGGGGAGATGGTTCTGGTGGCCTGGGCCTATCAGAGAGGTGAGGTGGGCTCAGTGGTCAGTGTGGTTGGGGCAGGAGGCTGACCATGGATTCGGGAAATGAAGGGGAAGTCAACTCCCAGCTGCCTGTCCAGCTGACCGCAGGGGAGCTCAGTGTGGACTCCTTAATGGACATGCCCAGCCCCCCCCACACACACACACACGGCATGAGAAGACACCCCCAACACTCACCAAGGTGACTGTGCCCATCACAGGGTCTTCATCGTTCGTGACCTTTGGTCTCCCGGCTGCTTGCCTCCTGCGGGCTTTCACTCTAAGGGAAGAAGTCAGCAGCGATAATGACTCAGGCACAGGTGGGCAGCTGTGCCTACTCCCTGATGGACAACGGTGGCATCCAGGCCCTGAGGCCAGACTCGGAGACCCTCCTGACATGCAGGTGAGGGTCCCGTCCCCCTAGATGTCCGGGGGTTTTGCCAAGACTGAATGTTCATCACTGAGGCCCCTCTCACATGCAGAGACGTGTGCACGAGCCATCATCAGAGTAATTCATGGTAGCCAAAAATCCAAGCAACCCAAATGTCCAATGAATGAACAAATAAAATGTGCCCCATCCAAACCATGGAATATATCCTATCTGATAATAGACAAACATGGTAATTGACCATACCTTCACTACACCTCCCATTGGCTAATCAGTGCGATATGCAAATTAACTGCCAAAAAGATGGTGGCTAATTTGAATACTGCAGGCAGGGCAGGCCAGTGCAAGCTGCCATCCAAGCCCCCATGTGCTGCTTAAGACCCGCCGCCAGCTGGGACCCCCGTTTGCAGTCCTGGGCGCGGGGCTTGGTGGTGAGATCAGCCCAAGGAAGCCCTATTCTTGCAGGAATCCTCCTGCAATGGGCTTCTAGTTTGTAAATAAAAAGCAATGCAGTCGTGACACATGAACCTTGAAAATCTCAGGCTACATGAAAGAAGTCAGTCACAGTAAACATGTATTTTATCATGGCATTTCTATGAAATGTAAGAATGGGCCAATCTAGAGAAACAGGACATACTGTTTGCCTGGGGCTGGAGGGGGATGGAGGTGGGATGACAATACAGGGATGTGGAGTTTCTATCTGTCTCTCTCTTTTCTTTTTCTTTTTTTCAGACTAATAAAAAGGTTTTAAACTTGACCGTGGTGATGGGTGCACAGCAGTGTGACTGAAGGAAAAGCAATTGAATTGGACACTTTAAATACATCGGAATTTTTCATCAATAAAGCTATTACCCCACCGCCCACTCCAGCCTCGCCAGTGGATAAGCTTTGTGTTGGTGAAATTCTCTGACCTCTTTCACACCCCTCGGACCCGGCTCCCTGCCCCGGAGGCTCACATGCAAAAGGAGATGAGACACAAGCACAGGGACAGCAGGGCCGTGGCACCAGCACCTCCGAGAGCCGCAGGAACTGCTCCTGCCTAGGGCACGGCCTTCCCTGCAGAGGGGAGGGGCCTGAGACACCCACACCCGGGCCTCAGTCTCTCCTCTTCCCCCTCCTCCCAGAACCCACTGCCGGTTCTGTTCAACCAGAGCCCAACTTAGCTCAGTGGATGAGCATCGACCTATGAAGCAGGAGATCCCGGTTCCATCCCTGGTCAAGGGCACATGCTCAGGTTTCGGGCTCGAACCCCAGTAGGGGGCGTGCAGGAGGCAGCCGATCAATGATTCTCTCTCATCATTGATGTTTCTCTCTCTCCCTCTCCCTTCCTCTCTGAAATCAATAAAAATATTTTGGGGGGAAAACAAAAGATGCAGTCCCTGTCCTACCAATCACTCCTGCCCAAGACACAGCCCCTCTCCCCCAGCCCCACCTTCTCTCTGACCCACTCCTGCTCCCCTCTCTGCCCCACCAGCGCCAGGGGCAAGTCCCAGCCCCAGAGAGGAGGGGTTCTTTCCTACCTGTGGCATTTCTAAAGGAGACACCTATGGTGAGGTTCCCTGGGGCATCGGGGAGAGAAAGACAGGGCCCCACTTCACATGGAAGTCACCCTGAAAGGGCGAGGACTACACCCTCCATCTTGCCCCAGGGTAAGGGCTACGTCCTCCATCTTACCCTGGATCCTCCATTTTTGGGCAGCCATGTGCTCGGCAAGGCTTCTTCCCGGAAGCCCAAGCCTCTGCTAGCCACACCCAGGACTTCTTTAAACTAACCAATGACAATCAAGGGAAGTGCGCACCATAGATATGACCACATCCTGTGTAACAAGACACTGACTTGCGCCTGGCCAATCGGCAGGGCCCACAGTCCTTTCTCCCCCCCTTACTCCAACTCCCTATAAAACCCCTCTTCCCACAGGGCTAGCTCTCTCTCTGCCACTTGCTGCTGCGTCAGTAAAGGAGGGTAGGGGAGCCAAGCCCAGGCTTGAATAAAGACTCTTATGCTTTTGCATCGGACACGGCTGGCTCCCGGGTGTGGTTTCTTGGGGATCCTGAAATCTGGGCATAACAACCCCAACCCCAAGGAGGGGCGGTGGGAACTAATAAAGTGGGGTTCTCTCTTTCTGGCTCACTCCCCACCTACAAGCAGATCTGTTTTTGATGTGTTTCCCCTCCACGTTCCGCGTGGTTCAGGGTTCGGGTCTGGAAGAGGAGCCACACACAGATGAATGAAAAGAGACAAGAGACAATTTGTAAATGTTGGGAAGCCAGGTGGGCAAGTCCAGAAGGACTTCCACCGATGCTCAGGCCGATCCAACCTTTTATTTGATCTGGGGTAGCCCTAGGGTAAGGAGGTTTCAATGACACACAGATTAGCTCAACCACAGGCAATTTCCAGTAATAGGCAGACTCTCTTATCAATAAGGATTTACATGAATAAAGGTAGGGAGGTTGCTTCAGCTATTTACATGAATAAAGGTAGGGAGGTTGCTTCAGCTACCATTATCTAGACTAACTGGGTGGTGCACAGCCCTGACCTTTGCTAGGGCCTCAAGGTTACTAACTTTTGGGGGTCTCTGTCTATACTCAGCTAGTGAAGACAATAAAATAGACTCCGGCACAGATCCATGCCCGGGTGTTCTCAGGTTTGCTCAGCCTCCTGCACACACACACACACACACACACACACACACACACACACGTTGCTCCCACTGCCCCCATGGACCCAGCCACCCCTCCAACACTCACAGGAGACGTCGAGCCGGATGGTTCTCTGTGTGGTCAACTGAGGCCGTTGGACTTGGACCTGACAGGTGAGGTTGGTGCCATGGTCCCCAGGCCTCGGAGTGAAGGTGAGCTTGAAGGAGTGGAGGGTCTGAGGGTCCAGTGAGTCCACAGCGGCTCCCGCCCAGGAGAAGGTGAAACGTTGTCCCCTTTCACAGGCCCCTGGCAGGCTGCAGGCCAGCTGTGTGGGGTGGCTGGACACCAGTGGCTCCAGAATCTGGATGTGGGGTTTGTCTGTCAGGGAGGAAGAGGAGAGAGGGAGGTGCCAGGGCCTCAGGGGCTGGGGACACAAAGTGTGATCCTGAGTGGGACTCGTGCCTCAGGACCCTGAGCTCCCCAGGCCCTGTGATCTTCCCACCACCCAGGGCCTAAGGCCTGGACAGGGAGTGTTCAGTGTCCTGTACCTGCTCTAAGACGGGGTCCATGTCCCTGGGTCCTCTCCTGGGCCCCTGCCTTACCTGTCACCTGCAAATTCAACATCTTCTCTCGGTAACTATGTTTCACAGAATCTCCTCTCTCCACTCGGAAGAAGTAGCGTCCTGTGTCACTCCTCCTGGCGTCTCTGATGCTCAGGGAACAGTTGTTGGTCTTGGGGTCCTTGAAGATGAAACGGTTTTCTGTTTCACTCTTCACCGGTTTATGTGGGTTGTTTGAGGCCACAGGAGCATCATAGGCTGTGTCATCCCCGTGCTGGTACCAGTAGGTGTAGAGTTCACTAGAGGAAGACCACGAATCCCACGGGTAGAAGGAGCAGGGCACATGGACACACAGACCCTCCTGCACTGTCACCGATTCCTGCACTCGGAGCTCGTACTGGTAGCCTGGTTGCTGCTGCAGGGACCCTGGGAGGGGGACAGAGGCTCAGCGGCAGCCCCTGCTGATCCCCCACCTGCCTTTCCCGCTTCCCTCAGCCCACTCACCCCCCCCCACCCCCACAGCAGGGGCAGCAGCAGCAGGGGCACCATGTCTGCCTCTGGCAGGGCAGAGCGGGTCCAGGTCCCTGTGTCAGGGAGGTAAGTGCCCAGCTCTGGGGTGAGGCCTAGGACACCCCAACAGGAAGCCCTGGGGGAGAGACTGTGGTCAGGCTGGAGGGGAACTTGGCCTCCACAGGACATGTGGGGGGGTGGTGCTGGCTGAGAAATCATCCTGTGTCCCTCCCCCTCCCCACCCAACTCTGCCGGTGGATATGCTGAGGCCCCCAGAGGTTGAGTGAATCTGAAAGTAATCACCTTGCAGATGATGTGTAAGTGGAGAGGGAGGTCACCAGGGGGCCACTGGGGTCAGAGCTCGACTTGGGGGAGATAAAACCTTTAGCTGTAACCACTGATGGATCTGGAAAAGGATAACTTTACATTTTCTTTAGACAACTCAAGTGCTGGCAAGAGAAAAAGGAATTTAGACTCAACTCCAAACCCCAACGAAAACTTGAGCATTCAAGCCCTTTGCTCTGAGATTTGTGGGGACATGGGAAGCACACTTGTGGGTTTCCCAGGGTCTGAGGGACCTGGGACAGTGACAGCACACAGACCCCATCAGAAGGCGATGTGTGAAGGGAGATCTCACCCCATTCGGAAGGACCCAGAGGCGGGGCCTCAGCACAGCAGCAAATTTGCCACCTACAGCTCAGGAAGCTCCACCTTCAGGCCCCTCACATGCTCTGTCCCTTTTCAAAGCCCAGCAGGGGCTCGAGTGATGTGTGGACATAATCTGCAATCCTACTGCTCTTTTATGAAAGAAACTTGATCAATGTTTTTCCAAATATGACAGTGATGTGAAACTTCAGACATTCCCAGTAACAAATTGTGTGATTGAAAGAAACGGTTCTTTAATTGTACAGGAGAAAAAGAAATGTCAGTCAGCCATGCTGAAGGGAACACTGAATTCTCTCTCTGTTATCTATATTATTTATATATATATAAGGCTAATATGCAAAGTGTCGCCTCAGGAGTTTGATCGGGAGACTGGGAGTTTGATCGCTCTAAATGATATGTGCTGACCTCTGGGGGTGACATGAAATGCAGGAAGGCCCCAGCCGGCAGCCAGAAGGCCCTGATCAGCCCTGACCACTGGCCAGGCCTAGGGACCCTACACATGCACCAATTTCATGCACTGGGCCTCTGGTATAAATATCATATTCTAGTAATTAATACTTAATATAATATTAATATTTATTACTATGTGACAGAATTAATCTCCTATAAAGAGGCAATCAGCCCTGACCGGTTTGGCTCAGTGGATAGAGCGCCGGCCTGGGGACTCAGGGGTCCCGGGTTCGATTCCGGCCAAGGGCATGTACCTTGGTTGCGGGCACATACCCAGTGGGGAGTGTGCAGGAGGCAGCTGATCGATGTTTCTCTCTCATCGATGTTTCTAACTCTCTATCCCTCTCCCTTCCTCTCTGTGAAAAATCAATAAAAATATATTTTTTAAAAAAAAGAGGCAATCAAAGGGTATCAGTTAAAAACTGTGCAGCCTGCCCAACTGGCTCAGTTGGCTGGAGCGTCATGCCTTACACCAGAAAGTTGTAGGTTAAATTCTTGGTCACGGCACATACCTAGGTTTCAGGTCCCATCCCCTGAATGGGCATGTAGGAGGCAACCAAATGATGAAACTCTCTCACATCTCTGTCTCTCTCTCAGGGCTCAGCAATGGAACAATGGCCTCTATCAGCACTTCCGTCTGGGAGAAAGCTGCCCCTCCAGCTCTCCTGGATTCCAGATAAGTTGGTTCCTCCCTAAATGTCCCAGGTTCCTTTTAAGCTGGGGCCCAAGTGCTAGTGCTCAGAAGGAGTGAGTCTGAGGAAGACCGTGCTCAGGCCCTTTAAGAGGAGCTGCCTGGGTGGGTCTCTTTCAGAGAGCATATACACTGAGTGGCCAGATTATTATGACCAGCCAGATTATTATGACCACCCCATCAGTACTTCGTTGGGCCACCTTTTGCCTTCAATACTGCAGCGATTCCTCTTGGCATTGACTCCACGAGATGTTGAAAGGTGATGTGAGGAATCTGACACCTTGCCTGATGAATAGCACGGTCCAGTTCTGTGAGATTTGATGGGTGTGGAATCAGCTGCCTGATGGCTCTTTTAACTTCGTCCCACGAATGCTCCATTGGATTGAGATCTGGTGATTGTGGGGGCCACCTAAGCAAGGTAAAGTCTCCCTCATGTTCTTGAAACCACTCCTGCACAATCCGAGCACCATGGCATGGCGCGTTGTCTTGTTGGAAGAAGTCGTCTCCATTGGGATACGCCATCAACATGATAGGATGAACCTGATCAGCAATGATACTTAGGTATGTTGTGCTATTCAGATGTTGTTCCACACGAATTAAAGGGCCCAAATCATGCCAGGAAACACATGCCCCAAACCACAACACTGCCCCCACCAGCTTGAAGGGTTGTACTCATGCATGTGGGGTGCATGCTTTCATGCCGTTTCCACCAAATTCTCACTCTGCCATCTGCATGATGCAACTGGAAACGTGATTCATCGGACCACATGACTTTTTTCCAATGCTCGACTATCCAATCCTGTGTTCCTGTGCGAATTGGAGACGTTTTATCTTGGTAACTGCAGACAGCAAAGGTGTTCGAACAGGCCTTCGGCTTCCATATCCCATTCGATGTAGTGTATGGCTAATTTGCCTACAAACGTCAGGTGGTCATAATAATCTGGCCACTCGTAATAATATATATCCCACGTTCAAAGGCTGTTAAATCCATTGTTTACCCATATCTTCAGAAAAAAAATCACTTCTACTGTCGTGGTAAACAACCTGCTTCCCTATTTATAATGGTCTGGCCCTTTAGCAACTTCAACACGAAAATATACCTAATTTGCCTACAAACGTCAGGTGGTCATAATAATCTGGCCAATATATATATAATTAAATTTGCCATCTTGCCCTACCTGGTTTGGCTCAGTGGATAGAGCATTGGCCTGTGGACTGGGGGGTCCCGGGTTTGATTCTGGTTGGGGGCACATGCCTGGGTTGTGGGCTTGATCCCCATTGGGGGACATGCAGGAGGCAGACGATCAATGATTCTCTCTCATCATTGATGTTTCTGTCTCTCTTTCACTCTCCCTTACTCTCTGAAATCAATGAAGATATATCTAAAAAAAAAATTGCCATCTTAACTATTCTTAAGTTTACAGTTCAGTAGTGTTAAGAATATTGACATTGTTGTGCAAACATTCTCCAGGACATTTTCATCCTCAAAACTGAAACCCTTTAGCTATTTAACAATGCTCTTCATCTACACAAAAAGGTTGTGGCTTCTATTTCCTGTCAGGGCACTTACTTAGATTGCGGAAATCCCAGTCAGGGTGGATGCAGGAGGCAGCCAATTGATGTTTCTCTCTCACACTGATGTTTCTCTTTCTCTCCCTCTCCCTCTCTCTCTCACTAAAAATCAACTTTAAAAAGTGAGCAAAGCAGATTGACACTGCCTTCAAAGTGAGCCAGGACATTCTGTGGAGCCTCAGTTTCTTCAGCTGTATAATGGGACAGAACACCGTTACTCTGAGGTGACCTCGGGGCTGTTGTGAGGATAGGGAGGAGCTTTGGGGACCTGGACGGCCCCATTTCTGCCAGGACTAATGTCTCTTCATCATTGACTCAACCCAAGCCACACCTCCCCTCACTATTTCAGAGCAAGACAGGTTGTGCCATGATCATTCTCTCTCATCATTGATGTTTCTGTCTCTCTCTCTCCCTCTCCCTTCCTCTCTGAAATAAATTATATATATTTAAAACTACTTCCAGTTTGTAACTTATACATTCTTATTTTATTATGTACAGTCACTACCATAAAAATTTCAGCATCATAATTAACTTACCAAAGTTTTAGCAAATGAACACTTCTCTCTCCTCCTAGGTAATACGTACACATTAGGAAATGTACATATAACCTATTCCCCACAACAGCTACTTTGGGCTTAGCCGTTATTACTGCTGAGAATTTAAATCTATATTTTTGTTCTACAGGCAATAATTTCCCCATTTATTTGTACCAAAACATCTGTATTACTTCCTCATTTTTGAATTCTCTCTGCTGAGTATAAATTACAAAGTGACATTTAAAGATCATATCTGCTTTCTTCTGCTTTCCATGGTTGCTCCTGAAAAGTCAATTAAACTGCTCTGAGCGAGTCCTCATTTGCCTGCATGCTTGATCTCTGAGTACTCGGTGCTGCTGGTGGCCTCCAGGTTCTGAGGCTCCCGTGTCTTCATCTCATAAAAGCTGAGGTTGGCGTAGAGCTCTTGTTGCTCCCCGGAGGGAGGGGCATCCTTGGCGGGGGGCGCTTGTTCTGGAGGACTGTCTGGGCCTAGCTTTTCCTGGGAACCCTGAGGGAAGGGGAGGGAAGAGAGTCAGAGAGGAATAAGGCAGACATGCTCCCAAGGGGAAGTTGGGCTGATGGAACAGTTTTCATTCTTCCTCATTCCACACACACGTCTTACGAACTCAATTGTTCCCGCATGCATTTAACGTTCTGTAATATTATACTGAGGGCCTACTAATCACGTTTCATCCTCACAGAAACCCAGCATGAATGGCACTCATTATCCCCATTTACAGATGGGGAATCTGAGGTGAGGAGAGGTGAAGTAACATGCCCACAATGGGTAGAAAGTAGTCGTTTTGGGGAGATGGTTCTGGCGGCCTGGGCCTATCAGAGAGGTGAGGTGGGCTTAGTGGTCAGTGTGGCTGGGGCAGGAGGTTCCAGGAAATGAAAGGGAGAAGTCAACTCCTAGCTGTCTGTCCAGCCGACCACAGAGGAGCTCAGTGTGGACTCCCTAATGGACATGCCCAGCCCCCCCTACACGGCATGAGAAGACACCCTGTCACTCACCCAGGTGACTGTGCCCATCACAGGGTCTTCATCATTCCTGACCTTTGGTCTCCCGGCTGCTTGCCTCCTGCGGGCTTTCACTCTAAGGGAAGAAGTCAGCAGCCAGAATGGCTCAGGCACAGGTGGGCAGCTGCCCCCACTCCCTGATGGACAACAGAGGCAACCAGGCCCTGAGGCCAGACTCGGAGGCCCTCCTGACATGCAGGTGAGGACCCCGTCCCCCTGGATGCCCAGGGGTTTGGCCAAGACTGAATGTTCATCACCAAGGCCCCTCTCACAGGCAGACATTGTGCACAAGCCATCATCGGTGTAATTCATGGCAGCCAAAAAGTCCAAGCAACCCAATGTCCGTCAATGAAGGAACGGACAAATTAAATGTGCCCCATCCAAACCATGGAATATTATTTGTAAATAAAAAGCAATACAGTGCTGACACATGAACCTTGAAAATGTCATGGCCCTGGCCATTTTCTCAGTGGTTAGAGCGTCGGCCTGCACACTGAGGTTCACAGGTTCAATTCATGGTCAAGGACATGGACTTGGGTTGCAGGTTCGATCCCCATCTCTAGTCAGAGCTTGTAGACAAGGAATCTATGAATGTGTCTCTCTGACATTGATGTCTCTCTCTCTCTCTCTCTTTCTCTCTCCGTTCCACTCTCTCTAAAAATCAATGGAAAAATATTCTTGGATGAGGATTAACAAACAAAATAATTATTATAATAATTAAAGAAAATATCGTGCTAAGTGAAAGAAGTCAGTCACAAGGGACCATGTGTTCTGTGATTCCATTTATATGAAATGTCCAGAATGGACGGGAAGCAGTTAGTGGATGCCTAGGGCTGGGAGAGGATGGAAACAACTAACAGTTAGTGGATGTGGGTGTCTTTTGCTTTATTATTATTATTATTTCAAGCAAATGAAACGTTTTAAAATTGACGGTGGTGATGGGTGCACAGCTGTGTGACTGAACAAAAATCCACTGAATTGTACACTTTAAATATATGGGAATTTTACCTCCATAAAGCTGCTACCCCTCGGCCCTCCCAAAACAGTCCCCTCTGGATGTACTCAGTCCTGCACCTCCTGCCCCGGAGGCTCACATGCAAAAGAAGATGAGACACAAACATAAGGACAGCAGGGCCATGGCACCAGCACCTCCGAGAGCCGCAGGAACCACTCCCGCCTGGGGCACCGCCTTCCCTGCAGAGGAGGGGTGAGACACCCACATGCAGGCCTCAGTCTCTTCTCTTCCCACCTCCTTGTAGAACCCACTGTCGGTTCTGTTCAGGCAGGAGAAGCAGGCCCTGTCCTAGCAACACCCCCTGTCCAGGCCACAGCCCTCATCCCCAGCCCCGCCTTCTCTCTGACCCACTCCTTCCTCCATGGCCTCTGCCCCCAGCAGCCCTGACCTGGCAGCAGCAGGACAGAGATGCTCTGGGCCCCGTGCACATTCCGGGCCTCGCAGCTGAGTCTGAGATCAGGGTTGAGCCATCCGCGGAGTCTCAGGGAGCTGTTGGTCCAGGGCCCCTCTGAGCTGGAGCTGACCACGTGGGAGGTGTTGCCATGGTTCCCCTCCAGCAGCTCCGCCCCCAGCCGCCAGCGCAGGGAGGGGGCCGGCTGGGCCCTGGAGGAGCAGCTGCAGTGCAGACCCTGGTCCCCCCAGGAGCAGGAGGGTCCCAGCAGCTGCGGGGGGTCTGTGGGGAGCGAGGAGAAGGGTCAGCGGTGCCTCTAACATCTCCAGGCACCCAGGTGACCTACTCCCAGGTGAGTCCCACCCCCTGCTCCCACCCCACCGCCACTCCAGTCTCAGTCCATTCCCCACTCACAGACCACGGAGAGGTTGAGGGAGACACTGTGGGAGCCCAGCGGGTGCTGAGCTTGGCAGGTGAACTCTCCTTCCTGTGCAGGCCCCACGCGAGGCAGCTCCAGGATCGCGGTGCTGGAGATGGGGGTGGCGTTCAGGCCTGGGGACCCCTGGAACCAGCTCAGCTCGGCAGGAGGGTTGCTGTCAGCCTCACAGCACAGCCTCAAATCCTCACCTTCCAGGATGGTTAGGGATGTGGTTTGTGGATTCTTGAATGCTTTGGGTAAAGAAATGGAGAGAGAGAGAGCGAGAGAGAGAGAGAGAGAGAGAGAGAGAGAGAGAGAGGTGTGTAACACAGATGTAGGCACCCACCCAACAGAGATGAGGGACTCAGGTGATGACTTTCATCCTTGCCCTTCCCATGTCTGATCCCATTCAAACTCTGATCCCCCCTCTGCCCCCAGGGAAGGTCCCAGCCCAGAGAGGAGGGGTTCTTTCCTACCTGTGTCATTTCTGATGGAAACGCCTATGGTGAGGTTCCGAGGGGCATCTGGGATAGAAAGACAGGGCCCCCCTTCAGATGGAAGTCACTCCAACCCCAAGGAGGGGCGGTGGGAACCGGGAAGGAGGGGTTCTCTCTTTCTGCCCCCTCCCCACCTACAGGCACATCCATGCCCGGGTGTTCTCAGGTTAGCTCACCCTCCTGCACACACACACACACACACACACACACACACACACAGACACACACACAGACACACACACACGTCGCTCCCACTGCCCCCATGGACACAGCCACCCCTCCCACACTCACAGGAGACATTGAGCCGGATGGTTGTCTGTGTGGTCATCCAATGCCATTCCCGTTTCACCTGACAGGTGAGGCTGGTGCCATGGTCCCAGGGCCTCGGGGTGAAGGTGAGCACCGAGGAGGAGGAGCGGAGGGTCTGGGGGTTCAGCGAGCCCACAGCGGTTCTCTCCCAGGAGAAGGTGAAACGCTGTTCCCTTTCACAGGACCCTGGCAGGGTGCAGGCCAGCTGTGTGCGGCGGCCGGACACCAGAGGCTCCAGAATCTGGATGTGGGGTTTGTCTGTCAGGGAGGAAGAGGA